TACACTGATGTACATATTTCACATATTGTTAGAATACATACGTACTTTGTTCGCCTTTGTGAAAGAACGACCTTGTTTTTATGTTCAAACTATCCGGCAGATTCGAATACTTCATCTATGTATTAAAATTTCTTTTTTTCTACATATGTACTTATATATAAATACTAAACTAAAAAATTATCAGTTATAACAATACACACACATATCACAAAGTAAGTGCATCGTTTTCTTATAAGTTTTAAGAATGTTATCATTCATAAAGTAGTAGTTATAAAAATGTTCAAGATCGATCTTTTATCATTATATAATGGAAACAAGATCTGTATGATTTTAATGATAACTGGTGTATCAAACGACAGATTTCATTGAAAATTGCAGTAATACTGTTTCAAAATTTGCCAGTCACATCTCACATTCATGGACGAAGAAGATCTCAAATGGATAAATTTTGAGATTAATTTGAGAAACAAATTAGCTTTACTTATTTTATGAAGATTTTGACTTCTTCAACAGATCTTTATTTTATGAATTCTAGACAAGCTTCATTTCAACAGTCCACCATGTTTTCAAACTGGACTTATTATTTATTATTTCAATTTGTATTTTTGGCATTGGTCGCTGTATGTAAACAACCAGTGGCTCAAAAATTCACAGTTCAACATGACGTATTAGGAATGGGAAGATCTTATACGATTACAGATGACCTTGGTGGCTCTCACTATACAATCAAAAATGAAGTAAGTCTTGAGTACATTGTGAAAAAAAGAATGTCTTAATAAAACCATCCTGATGGCTTTCAAATGCATTCATCGTGTGTAATGAGGACATGTTAAGTGCATTTTCCCGATTTTTTTTCTATTAGTCGCTTCGATGTCTTGAGCGTCATGTTTTCACGGTTAAATATAGCTTAGATGCTTTCGATAGACATCAGTACTAACGCATCAAAAAGTCTCAAGACACTAGCTACGACCAAGGCACTTAGTACTTAGTCGTGTAGTTATATTC